TGTGTGTGTGTGTGTGTGTGTGTGTGTGTGTGTGTGTGTGTGTGTGTGTGTGTGTGTGTGTGTGCTCAAACTCTTCTAATGTCTTCTTAGTTTTGTTTTTGATGTAGTCACTTCTGTCAAAAATGCATAAAATCCACAGTTTAATCAACAACGATTTCTTCCAGAGAAATTTTCTGTTGCAGTATTTATGGTAATCATAATGCATCAGATCATTTTTCTATGTTATTTCTAGAAAAATGTTCTTCCAAAACAGATAAGGAATCTGATTGTTTATTAATTAATTTTGAAAATACCTGCAGTAATCGAATGATATCTCATCTAATGAGATACCTAATTGCTGAAGAAATGGAACATACCTGTAGAACTCTTGGTAAGTGTGCCCGTAAGGGTTTCTAACTCGATGATTTTGTTTTCCAAAACGCTTTGTCTCCGAGCGGAATCTTGTTTCTGTCTCTTCAGGGCTGTTAGTTCCTCTTCAATTAATCGACGTGATTCCACTGCATCGGCGTATTCTACTTTTAATGCACCTAGTTCAGTCTCTAATTCCGCTAATTTTGCGAGGGACTCTCTCTCCAATTCTGCCATTCTGTCGTGTGCCTATTTCGATTGCGTAATAAATATAATAAATGACCGGTTTTCATCAATGACCGGCATCCAAAAAATTTGCGAGGCCATGCTTTACTTACATGACCAAGTTCATCTTCCAACTCAGCTACTTTTTCTAAAGCGGCAGTCTTGGTTTCGCTGTCTTCCATTAAGGCAGCTACATCAAATACATTATCTAAATACGCAGAGATTTGTACCTGTGGAAATAACATTGGTTTAGAATACACACACATACACACATTTTCGAATGTTTCGTAACAATTTCACTAAAACGAACATAATTCTAGCGTCCGTACTAACTCGGAGTCTAGAAACATTTTTTCTATCTCTTTTTCAGAAGCGTTATCTATACAGTTTTTGATAATGTACACGGTGAAAAGGTGATTGTATATCTAAATTTATATTTATCAATAAAATTCTACACATCGATTGATGACGCTGTCTAAGAAATTTTAACTTTTTTTTTCAGTTTTCGAAAAATTTAATTTTAAAAGTAAATATTTTATAATTTTTAAAAAATGGTCTGAAATAAAATTTAATTATACTACTTAATAATTTGTTAACTATACTTCTTCGTTCAGAAAACGTCCAAATATATTAGAAAGCAAACTTCCTCCTCGATTGAGGAAGCCAAATAATTAAGAGATCTTCATTAAAGAGAATCTATCGACTTGCTTTTGTATATTTTCGAAATTTTTGAGGCTATTCATGTATATTTCATTTAAACATAAAGTAACATTGACAGTAATCTAGGTACAAGAAAGAATTTTACAAAGGACGAGAACTCCAAACACAAATATTATATAAAATACAATAGTGAATTACTTTTAAATCTTTAATCAACCATTATGTAATGATTTTATTAATTAGAAAGTGTCAGACAATGATTTCTCTTTTATTATATAAGCATTAAACTTATGATAAGGAAGTTATACCAATTACTTTGCGATTAGTTATAATTCTATTGAAATGTATAAAATTTATGCAACATTTATTTAGAAGTTCTCACTAGACAAAATGATTTCAAAGAATTTAGATATCTATTTCGCATAATTCGTAATTATAGCATACCCTTTATAATAGTCGGACGAACATCTCTTACTGTTTACCGATCACGCAACATCCATTTATGCGGTTTAATTAAACATAACCGGATAATCGACAGAAAGGAAATTAATTTCCAAACAATCGATAGTTTACATAATAAGCATACAAATTAATTAGCATTCACGTGGGCACTTCGTACGAGAGAATTTCTTGTAAGAATATTTTTAAAATTTATTACGTAGGCATATTATTACTTAAACGAAATTTGTTTCAGTCAATATGTAAATTTAAAATACACTTGATATAAGAAATACTTGAAGTTTTAATTACACGCTATAGTAACCAACCTGCAAATCCTCACTCTCTGTATGCCTAAGTTTCTCCAGATACTCGTCCAGACCGAGTTTAGTGAACTCATATTGCAAATGTACCCTGAAATTCATGTCTTCCACCGAATGGACAACAATATTCACGAATTGCATGCATGCGACCATGAATTCTATGTGAAAACTGTCATATTGTGTGAAGTACTCCATCAGCGTCGTAAATCTTCGCCTTTCCAAGCAGACTTCCTTGAAATTGTCAAACGCCGACAGTATAATTTCGTGGCCACCCTTTACGAGACAGATAGCAGCGAGAAGTTCTAACACCAAGGCTTTCGTCCTGCAACAATAGCACGTATTCTTATTTCTACCTTGTAATTTTTACTTAACAATTATTTGATACCGCAAAAAGGCATAGTATAGTTACCTTAAACTTTTGTGCATTAAGCTGAGCGCGATACAATTGATTGCTTCTCGATGTTGAATAACCATGTTGAAACCGTACTGCAACAGAATTTCGTAATTATAACAATAAGATTATGAGCAGTGGGGTGCAAAGTTAATCCCCAGCAGTTATAAGTTGAGGTAAATTGGCCAGGGTTTCAGGATTGTTTAGTCTGCAGACTAATTGGGTCACTTTTCAAGATTTAACTAGTAATTTTTGACCATTGAAAGAGTTAAAATCTGTTTCTATAATTGTTTACATTGGAATAATGAAGATCTTATGGAATTAATATATCATAGAATTAATAGTTAATTAAAATAGGATAGCTATTAATTTAAAGAGCTTAAAAAATATTTAAATTGAACATTCGATTATCTTTTTATGTTTAACAAACATAAATCAAATGTGGTATTATTATGTACTATACTCTTCTATACTTTTGGTCGATTGATTTTGTTTAATATTTTCCAAGCAAGGAAACGTTACAACAAAAGTATTAGTTGCGAAATTCTTTGAATACGTCACTAAGTTTTTCGACAAATTTCAACTAGATGAGGAAAATTTATAAACTTGAAAATTGATATTTTCACATTTTACGCATATATTTCTACAATCGTCTAAAAAATGAAGACGAATAAAAATTCCCAAATATATTCGAAACTGGTCAGAATCTATATTCGAACAGCAAAGAGTTGATAAAAATAAATCTGAAGGCGAAACGAATCCACAGCTGGCAAAATCGTACGCTTTGTCGAGGCCTTTACCAATTCACCTGCACACAGTTTCGCACCTTGTTATTCATAATGGCACGCATGCACAGTATGCAAACGTGAATGTCATCTTTCGCTTCGCCCATATTCAAACGAGCGACATGCCGAGATCTCCTTTTAACACCCGGACTATCCTTGAGCTCGTGGAGGGGCGGCCTGAGGCAGCCATTATTTAGGGGTGAAGTGTCTCCAGAGCCAGCTGGAACATTGTCGCGTCGAGTACGGTTTATATCAAACAGTTAAGTATTTCTCTCACACAAAAACCGTTCATCCATACATATGACGGACTTGATGCAGTTAAGAGAAAACTGAATAGATCGATTACAAAAACGAACATAACAGAAATTTAAACCTTTAATGCCCGTTTATCCGAAAGATACACTAAATCAACAAAATAGGGTTTCAAACCGGATAAACATTGTTAACCAGTTACCTGTTTTTCACGAGTATACTCGTCATGAAGACATGGCAACACCTTTTGGGTTATGACAAGTATACTCGTCATGTGTAAAAATTTGCTGTTCAAATTGCAATTTTAATGAAAACTAAAATCTATTCGTAAATTTTAAGATGTTTTGAATATTTTGAAGCCAATATGAAATAAAACGAACAAATAAAAAAATATAAACAATTATTATGAAAAAACTGTGTACTATAGCGTCTGGGTTAAGTAGTATACTCGTAATCACTTTTTGTTACACATTTTAGATACGCACTTCTCAAACAAATCACGACAGTTAACCGGTTAAATTCGAAATTCTGTTTCATTTCCTATGTATGTGTTTCACAAAGAGGTAATTGAATGACATCAATTTTCAGTTCTGGAATATCATGTATCGATGAATATTATTGTGCGTTAAGAGTTAATAATACTATTGTACTATTTCGACTGCGTAAATGTGATCGAATGAGTAACTATTTAACTTCTGTTGTTTGCAGTTGATGCAGATCAAAATGGACTTTATACTCGAATGTCTCTTTTCAGGGAACATAACAAGACTGCTGGTAATTATAATACTCTCGAGTTTAACCCTTTAGTCTATATTATAGTAGATTATATTATGTATTATTATACAATATATTATATATTATTGTATTATGGTAACATCGTGTCACACTTCGCTATGAAGATTTCGTACATATTTCGTTTCTTTTAAATCGAAGTAGAATTCAGTTTCTCCATTGTAGATATTTAACAATTACAATCAAAGTGACATACAGCGAACGTAAATCTTCTTTGTGGTCTATGACCTCAATATCTATGGACCTCAACAACGTAATTGTGAAAGAAATAATAAGTTACAAACTTTTTGTTGTTATACCAAATTATGCAAGAAGAATTTTGTTTTCAATGTTATATTATTTTATTTATAGTGTCACTTAATATTACACAATAATCATTTCCGAATTGCTAGTGTTCTGAGAAAATCCCCCAAGTGCAAAGGGTACTTCCATTTTGTGTTTGATGCAGTGAAACCAATAGCGAGAGGACTAACATTTGACCAGATTTTTAACTAGTTTTTAATGACTGTTGTAATATTACGTAATAGACTGATATAATATTATATAAGTTATTCGAATAAATATTAATATTAAATATTAAATATTAATGCCTCAACAAGAAAGACCTCTTGTAAATAAAACACGTTTAAAGTTAAAAAATGGGACAAATTTTTATTGTAGCTTTTGATACGATCGTTTTACAATTATGTATGAAATACGATATCAGCCAAATGATCGCTTTGTGGGGCTACGTCAAAGGACGAGTGCCTAGGAATAATTCAGAAACCACCGATGAATTGAAAGATGACATCTGACGAGTTATTCAAGAAATTGAGCAGCCATTGCGTGATTTTGAGAAATTTCGAGAAGAGGGTGATCGAGTGTAAAAAGAGTTTGGGTGGTCGTTTGGCTGACATTGTATTTCATACGTAATTGCAAACGATCGTACCGAAAGTTAAAATCAAAATTCGCCGAATTTTTTAAATTTAAACCTGATTTATTTACCGGGAACTATTGGTAACTCTCGTTGAAAGATTCTTCATTTCGTTGCCACGGGCCAGCGCACCGATGCTTACCGGTTTGCAATTTTTCTTCGGAGCTTGTATGACATTCTAAAAGACGTTGCTCGTGCCTCATCATGAGCAATCTGAAGCTGAGGTAGTCTATCAGAGCGTCCAAGCCTTGGTTTTCTTCGTCGAGGAACTCCCTCACCCATCTGGAGTTTAGACGTGTTGTAAGGTTAATTTCATTCGAAAGTTTCATGTGCGATAAAACTAATGTTAGCGCGTTTGCATAATTAACGACGACTTGAAATTATAATATTAAACGTAATATTATATTTTATAATATTATAATTACGAATAATTAAGAATGATTATACCATAATTATACTATTCTATAATTATTCTTAATTATTTTGTAACTATCATTATTATTAAATTGTATAATTATATTCTATAATTATTCTGTAATTATTCTTAATCATAGGATATAATATTATAATTAATATTATATTATACGAACATTATTATTAAATATTTTTTTAGATATAAAGTTTCTATATACATTAATTTGTATATCATATCTATCGGTTATCGTTGTTGAGTGAAATAAGAAAAATGCATGCCTGATACGATCGACAAAACAAGAAGTTAATAATTTATAGAAATAGATAAATTCTAGATAGAAATTCGAAGAAAAAATTATAAATTCAATATTTACGTAAAATGTTTAATGAAAAAATGTTGAGAAAATGTTTGTGATTCAATATTGGAGTTATGCTATAACAAAATTTCGAATCTGAATTAGAAACGTATTTCTAGTCTCATTTTGAGCTACTAGAAAGGCTGAATTTGCAAATTTTATTTTATCTTTAAATAATATATAATAAAATTACATGTTTTTCGAAGCTTTCAAGTGAAACATTTCTTCAAAAACGTTTTCAGATAGTTCTTAATTAAAGCCTTTTGTTAAAATTTTCTGATTTTGAATTCTATTCTGAACGCATTCAAGAAAAATCATTCCAACGAAGCAATGAAAGAAAACACTATTTGGACAAATCGATAGAGTGAACTGCACGAATCTAATCAGGTAACTACTTATCTTAAAGCAGACGTCAAAGGTTGAAGCGACGAATATCGCAAATATTTTTTTCAACGACATAAGGTTTTATCAACCAAGATACAACAAAAATTTATTTATCTTCAGAACTATCTTCAGCACTTTTCTTTGTATCTTTACGTTAGAAAATAGCTTGTCGATGTAAAGTGTACTTGTTGGTACTTCGCTAAAAACAATATGATTGGACAGAAATATTAATAATTTATCATTTAAACGTAAAACGACAGTAATACAAGCTCTTAACATTATCTAATTTTTATTATGATAATAACTCTTAGCATTATATTTTATTGTTCTCCCTTTGGTAATTAAAAATTTTTCTTCCCTAATAAATACCTCTAATAATTTTTCTCTATAAGACTACAATCGTCTTTCAGCATAGGTGCCATTTTTTCCATAAACTATTCAATTACGTTTATCTAATAAATGACTAAATATTAGATTTTATTCATTCTACTGATTTTTATGTTTATCTCTGTCCATTTCTTTTTATTTTTGTACTGAATAATTTATTCGTTTCTGATTTTCCTACTATAGATATCGCCGCAAAATAATATCTGTACTTATCTCCTGCAGCTTGAACTTAAACATGATAACGATACAGCGTGGTGACTAACTTTCAATATTTGCAAATGAGTTCTTGTCGCTTACAGACTCCTAGAGTGTGCAAATTTATCTCACTATAATACGACTGGATGGTAAATCTTTAATGCTTGCGAATTCTTACGCAAAGTCGCTATAAAAATATCAAATGCACAAATGTTTTTTCAGTCGAGTAGACTGAAACAATTCAATTCCGAAACCCAAAATATTTCCGCTATTGCACAGAGCGGCCTGTTGTGGACAAAAACCGAAAAATTGTTGTTCGATTTTTAACTGATTGTTCGGTGATATTATTCATCGGTAAGTAAATTGTAGAAATTAATTGCCAAAAGAACCCCGATGGTGTATTAGTTACAATTAAATACACCTCACAAACTAATTACTAGAAAATCAGGTTATTTGTTCAGTATATAATGTTATTTGTTGATGAGTGTAAAATAATGTTTGTCATACTTAACTATGAAATTGAACAAAGCACGTATAATTTTAGTTTGCAACTAAGAAATTTCTTTCTTATTAGAAAATTTATATAAAAGGCAACGTCTCAAAATATCTTTCAGTTTATTTTGCATCAATGTGACGTATTACATGACCATGTAATTTTATTCTGTGAAAACTGCTACACTGGATGCTGGTTGTCTTTTTTTTAAAGAAAAATCCATTTTTAGAAAACGAAAGACGATCTCAAAACACTAATAATAATTTTTTAAAAATTGAACAGTATGTAATCCTTACACGTGAAGAAGGAAATTAAAAATCAAGAGTTTTTCATGATTTGCAAATCAGCATAATTGAATCTGAGAATATCGATTCAGAACATAGTGAGTGATTTGTAAAATTTTAATTACTCATTTTATATCTCGCAAACACAGTATCAACATTCTCGAAAGTATCATTTTAATTTTTGTTCAAAATTCTTTGATTCGATCGGGCTGTGCACTGTCTCAAAATCCTCGAACAAGATCGGAGTTACATACTACATCTTTTGAAACAGACATCATTCGAACTTACTCTATATGATTCGTTCGCAAAGAGATTTCCAAATCCCGAAGTACTTGTGTCGACGTTGACTCTCCAACTATCTTTCTTTTCTGAAAAAACGCAAGGAAACGATACGTCTATATAATCGTTAGTATCCGTTGTTCAGTTTCGTCGAGCGAAAAACGAACCAAAAATAAACGATTCTTTCACAGCTCAAGAACAAAGGCATTTTGTCAGTATGAATATAGTGAATCATCGATCATTACTGTAAGATCGTATAGTAATTCGATTGTAAAATACCGAAAAATTTCGTAGTTCATGACTCGCAGTTCGAACATTAGTTTACACGCGGCATCGGTTAGAAAATTGTGTAAATAAATTCGGAGCAATGCAACAAAATTATCTATGGTTATAAAATAAAAATTATTCAACTACTATTTTCAAACAGATTATTAAACAATTGCTAAATTTATTTTAGGATTCTTGTAGCTATGGACTGTTTTGTTATTAGATTTTCTGTACCAATGCTAACGAAAATTTTCTTTTATGTTATTTGTCCATGGTTTATTGTCGTACAGAGAATACTATTTTCTTCAGTTGCGTTACAAGCTATAGTCCTCACGCGACAAGAAGGCACCTTTGTGTTTACATTGCCGCTCTTACTTACTGTCGCAGCTATCGGTAGCCTACTGGCCCAAGACGATGACGAAGAAGATCGACAGAGGCCGCTAGCGACCGATAGCTGCGTCAGTGGGGTAGCTAGTAAGAGGGGGAATGTAAAGACATAGGTGCCTTCTTATCGCGTGAGGACTATACGTTTCACTCACTATATGCATAATTATAATCTTGAGGCTTTAGTTTGATTCTCGATTCGCGTTATAACGTAAAAGAGACGAAAAGTTGAACACATAAAAATTGTGCAAAAGCTTCGGTGGTAACATACTCGATGGCTTCGCGACGCTTTTGGGTCCAGGTAGGTACGTAATTTTGCTAGGTAATGTGACGGTGGATCCTTGGCTTGTACTCTTTCCTGCAAACAGAAATACGTAACACGTTATTTATATTTTAATAGCAAAATAGTAGTTAATACTATATGTATAGTTAATAATAACTACACTGCTAAGTATATTTGTATTATAAATGATATATTGTATAATTATCTATGCTACTGATGTAGTGAATTCAAGTGAATTACTGAATTTAAGTTTCTAATTTCCGAGACATTGTTGTAATTTCATAATAACGTTTCTAGTTGTCATGAACGTCGATATTGTTTAAATATTCGAATGTTCAATATTACTTTGATCATTTTAGTAAGCGATGCGTGAGTCTTTTGTAGATGCGTTAATTTCATACGTTTTTCACAAATTAGGTAATGGGACCTTTAATTAGCAGAGAAAATGTAGAACTTGTGCGAATAAAATACTAATCATTGCAAATCGGATAACATAAAGAAAATTCAATTTTATATAAACAGAATGTAAAAATACGACTAATGCGAATATGATTAATAACAAAAAATGTTCAGAAACTGGAACTAAATGAATTGAGTATGGTGAATTGATGATGCGAGCATTAAGGGTAACGCGCAGGTTTGACGCGAAAGACTCTTGTGTCGCTGATATATTGCCCACCAAATTAATATTGGGCAATCGGATCCAATTGGTGGAGCGATAATTGCGCGTACACTTATTTTGTAAAAAGAGACGGCTGATTCGACTGTTCGTTTGGACTAATGATACGATAGTCGCGAAAAGGTTTGAACAACTTCTGAGACTTGAGTCTTCTCGTTTTTGAGGAGTTCGTATGACGATTCTTACTGCCATCCAGAGGAATCGCGCTGATTGGTCCTTGCCGAAAAGATGCAATTTCCACTCAGTGCGTCTTTGAAATGTCGTCCACGCCCTTCCGTATGTCTTGAGCGCGCCTGACCTTTGACAAGGGTAGGAGCAATACCTGCATGGACGTGGAATCTTCGAAGACCTTGGCAACATTGCGAGCTTTCTCCAGGATAACCGTCGTACAATGGCCCGTATCAAGAAATTCAGTGACATTTTGTCAAAAAATCATTTTTCTACTATCGAAATCTACTGAATTCTTATTACCTTCTAAATGTCCAGCAACCTCTCAAAAACGAAGAAAATAATAAAATACAGTTCAAATTTTTTATATAATATAATTATTCAAAGCTAGAAATTTTAAAGAGAGTATTTTTATGTGTACTGTCCTCCTTCTTTAAATTATTTTAAAGATACCATTTAATGTGTGTGGTTTTTTTTAATGTGAAGAGCAATCTTTTGTGATAAAAAAGTTACATATTTTATTAACGAACAATAAGAACAATTTATTGGAAAATTATGCTGAATGTAGTTAGAAAAATTTAAATTCTTTACTATTAATAGGTCATATCTTTCTTATTCCATAAAATTCCACTTTGTGACATGCTGGATTATTTTCAGTACAATTTTCTGTAAATAGTGACATAAAGATCACCTTCCTCTTCGTCCCACTTGTCGAGTAATTAATATTTAAAATTGTTGGTGTCGTGGTACCTATTTACTGGGATGCACCATTAGAAAATTATAATTATTATCAATTGTTATAAAAATACAAGACACAATCGTGATGTGTTTTTAATTATCCGGTAATTTTTTCATGCATTGATTACAAAAAAAGATTCTCGAATTTATATTCTACGTGTTCTACAAAACGTTACATACATATATGAAACATAAGTATGAAATACATATTTGTAAAGTAAGATATAGTTTGTAAAATTTATATGTAAACAATTTTCTATTCCGTAAAAAATATCAATGAAAATTGATTAAAAATCATTGTTCAACAAATGTAAAAGATAAATAATTAACCGTAATTAAAAATTAATTATTTTTTAAATATTTTTGGTGAAAATTTCATTGCAATATCTCTAATGGTTCAAAAGTTATAACAGAAAGTCACTGAATTTCTCGATCTGGACCACTGTGCGTCGATAGCCTCGAATAGTGGTACGAGTTCAGGTAGATCCCTCGGAAGTGCCGAGTTTATGACACGCCACGGCTATTGAGAAATACGAACGGAAAGTTGGACATGGAATGGTCGCCAAATGTAAAAAGGTCTTCATCTCAAAAATAGCCTTTTGTCACGTCCGTGTCATAAATCCTATCGACGAAAACTCCACGTGTTTCGTTCCGGTGCGACGGAACATATGGTGTTAAAATCATGTAGATAGGTATACGAATTCTCCTGAGGGCAATTTTGTAGATGATGCATTAAGCCGGTTCGATTAAATGAACAATAATAATGTGGCTACCGTCTCCCCAAAATTAGTACAACAAAGTTTTAGAGCCCTATTAGAATTTACGAGCAAAGAGCTATCGCAGCGCACAACCACCCCGAAACCAATAACTTCGTATTATTCTTAGTTACGAACAGCGCGACGCGACACGGTTTAACAAAATAAAAACTGAAAAATGGCAAATAGCATTCGGCATGAAAAATACCCTATTTCGTTGTTCTAAAATAATTTTATCACGAAAGACATAAATTTTAAACAACAACGATTAGAGGACTAAAAGAAAGTTACAAATTTATTAAGTATACTAGAATTTATGCTAGTATTTTTCAACAAATTTAATCGATATTTACGTTTAATAAAAGTAATTTTTTTTTATTTTTGCATAACGTATTATTCACTGTACATCATTTCAATTTCTCAATTGTCATTTCTCGTGCCAATTTTACCGTTAGATACAAAATTTAATTAAATACTTATTTATTTGTTACATGATTTATTGGATACAGATATTTAATACAGATTTTACATCTGAAATTCTAATTAAAATCTCACTATATGCAATATGAGTATATTAAATTGCTTATTTTAATGAAAACTTTGCACAATCAATTAACGTACTCACATTACGTTCTAATATCTAAAATTCTATTTGCGTAATTTTATACTGATTTAAAAGGAACGAGTTTTTTTTCAGAAGGCACGACGTTTCCAAGAAACTTCAAAGCGGGCAGTCACGTGCGTGAAATTAGTCAAATTAATGCTGTCGGCACGCACAGAACGCGTAAGCACATATCCTTTTAGGAAACCTTGAAATATTGTTTCGCATCGTACGAACGTACAGTGCTCCGTCTATTAATTAAAACTCTTCGGTATATTCATTAGAAAACATGAGTGAACACGTTCATATTTTACAACATTATACAATTACGGTATAATCTCTTTATGTAAAACGATTATGTTCAGCTCTGTTAGCTGCAAATTAATTTAACGGTACGGAGCCACGAACATAGTAGAATTTGCAACAATAAAGGAAATAGCTAACTAACTTGTTATGTTTTTTTTATTATGTATGCTGTTTTATTAAAAAAAAAAATGATACTTCACTTGGCGTTAAAAGAAATTAGTAACATTGCACGTGTAATATATTTAGTGTGACGATGAAGTAGTCACATTGCCTCGTAACATTAGAACATTATAAAAGTAGACTGCGGATTTTGTGCACTTTTGAAAAAAAAAGTCTAAATCAAAAACAAAATTGAAAACACATGAGAAGAATTTATCGAATATTTTTGTATTAAGTACAACTTACTAAAATTATTAAAAGATGGAAGACATTTTCATCTGTGACTTATGTTTCTTATAGTCAACTTAGAGCATTTTTATTTTGCATAAAAATCCGCAGTCTAATAATGATTTCCAAGGGTGACATAATTTCCTATCCAGAAAAGATAAGTATACAAGAATATAATTACATGGATAAGTATATTTTTATATAAATATATTATTCATTATAATAATGATTATAATATTTTTTTAAGTTTCCTTCATGAGGTACTTTTCTCTTTTGGTTCAAGACAAAAGTAGTGTTTAATTTCTATTTATTGAAATGCTAAAAGATGTATATTTGATATTTAGAATAAAAGTTTATTCACGA